CACTGATTAATTAGCCAGTTTTTGAGATAATATATACATAGGTGTAAAACACCATAGGTGCGTTTTAGTAAAAGTCAAATACTAAATCTAGTACAGATAAATCCAATCCATTAATTTAAAATTACAATATCAATATAAATCGTATTTAACCTAGTCGAATTGTTTCTTGGTTAAAAGAAAATTCATTAAACGAAAGGTAAAGTATAAAATGTATAAATTAATACATATATGCAGTTATAACGTCGAAAAACAACTATCATCATAATGCAAAATTATTTTGGTCCTTAATTATAAAATTTTTCAAAATTTGGGCCTTTATATGTAAATTCCCCTTTATTTTAACGGAAATTTTAATTACTGTATTTTGCAATATATTAGCTTTTTTGAGACTTTTTATTATAAAACTGCAATTAATTGCAAATTAATTGTTTTGCAATTGTTTGTTTGTAACAATGTCAATATAATTGTGTAATAATTTAATTGCAATTCAATTTTTTGGCACCCCTGGTTAAATAGTACCAGTATAATTTTTAAGAATTTACTATGGGTCTTAGTTTTAATTCGATCAAAAATTCGTACAGATCTTTTTTTTAATCGGTTACAATATTAAACTGTAAAGTAGAGAGCAAGGATTAGTTTCCTTACGATATTAAAGTCCTAAAATTTTAAAGACGATTCCAAACCTTAATTAAGACTCCAGCCTACGACGTACGTACGTACGTATAAAAATGCTGCTCTTTCCTAGTTTGCTAATCTTCAATATTCATTAATGGACCAAAATTACGATAATGATGATGCTGAATCTGCTGTTTACGTATACTGCTATACTTAATCTGAATATGTGATGGCGAAACAAAATTGATAACCTTTTCAGAAAAATTAAACTATAAATCCATATAAATAATAATGGCCACTTCCTTTTGTATAAAAAGAAAACTCCAAATTAATCAAAATTTCAATTATTAATCGACAATGAAATCACAAAAATTTTGACCTACGAAAGCATGTTAATGATTTTTTTAGTAATTATTCTCTTCTCCATTCAATGCGCATCAAATTATCATCGACATAAAATCTTTAATGGGCCATCATATTATCTATCTTGTCTTTCATATTTTTCAACATTCCGTTTAGGCCAAACCATATTCATTGAAAACTACAGAATGTTACATATAGACAGTGATCTCTTGTCACCGATTTCGACTGATCCACCTTTCCAACTATTTGAACGTCGAGAACACGTCATCAAACCGACTCGTTTAGATTATAGTACATGGAATCAAAGAAATCCCATACAAACTAATAAATTTTATGGAAATTTAATGTTGGATAATGGACAAGATCCTATCTGGCCGTTACCTTATGGATTGAGATGGGAACGAGGACAAAATAGAGATTTTTGGGGATTTAGTGTTTCTCATGTTGATTATGATAAGAAGGTTTGTGTATCAGTTTAAGAAATGGCTTATATTAAGAATTTATGATTACACTAATATCTCCGTTTAAATCATATATTATTTGAATAGGTTTTTGGCCCAGACCCAAATCAAAATCCTGTAGAATTTTATTATAGCTTATACATCCCAACCATCGTATTCTCTGCCAAAGAGCTTGGAAGTAACCACGAACTTCTATTATCAAATATGTCAGAATTCTCTTCAACCGTCAAACTATTTCCCTATGGTCGTTCTGGCTCTTACATCTCTTTCCCGATCTCTCGTGGAATGACATTTATCACTGCAGAATATAAAAACTTAATTCCATTATTCCATTC